CTCTCTCTATCTACGTCGAAGAAATGAACCTCTCTCTCTTCTTCCATCTACGTCGAAGAATCCTCTCTCTTCTTCCATCTACGTCGAAGAAATGAACCTCTCGCTCTTCTTCCATCTACGTCGAAGAAATGAACCTCTCGCTCTTCTTCCATCTACGTCGAAGAAATGAACCTCTCTCTCTTCTTCCATCTACGTCGAAGAAATGAACCTCTCTCTCTTCTTCCATCTACGTCGAAGTCGAAGAAATGAACCTCTCTCTCTTCTTCCATCTACGTCGAAGAAATGAACCTCTCGCTCTTCTTCCATCTACGTCGAAAAATGAAATCTCCTCTTCTTCCATCTACGTCGAAGAAATGAACCTCTCTCTCTCCTTCCATCTACGTCGAAGAAATGAACCTCTCGCTCTTCTTCCATCTACGTCGAAAAATGAACTCTCTCTCTTCTTCCATCTACGTCGAAGAAATGAACCTCTCTCTCTCCTTCCATCTACGTCGAAGAAATGAACCTCTCGCTCTTCTTCTACTCCAATCTACGTCGAAGAAATGAACCTCTCTCTCTCTTCCATCTACGTCGAAGAAATGAACCTCTCGCTCTCTTCCATCTACGTCGAAGAAATGAACCTCTCTCTCTCCTTCCATCTACGTCAAGAAATGAACCTCTCTCTCTCCTTCCATCTACGTCGAAGAAATGAACCTCTCTCTCTCCTTCCATCTACTCGAAGAAATGAACCTCTCTCTCTCTTCTTCCATCTACGTCGAAGAAATGAACCTCTCTCTCTTCCATCCGTCGAAGAAATGAACCTCTCGCTCTTCTTCCATCTACGTCGAAGAAATGAACCTCTCTCTCTTCTTCCATCTACGTCGAAGAAATGAACCTCTCTCTCTTCCATCTACGTCGAAGAAATTGAACCTCTCTCTCTTCTTCCATCTACGTCGAAGAAATGAACCTCTCGCTCTTCTTCCATCTACGTCGAAGAATGAACCTCTCGCTCTTCTTCCATCTACGTCGAAGAATTGAACCTCTCTCTTCTTCCATCTACGTCTCTCGTCTATCTACGTCGAAGAAATGAACCTCTCTCTCTTCTTCCATCTACGTCGAAGAAATGAACCTCTCGCTCTTCTTCCATCTACGTCGAAGAAGTCGAAGAAATGAACCTCTCTCTCTTCTTCCATCTACGTCGAAAAATGAAGCTCTCTTCCATCTACGTCGAAGAAATGAACCTCTCTCTCTTCTTCCATCTACGTCGAAGAAATGAACCTCTCGCTCTCTTCCATCTACGTCGAAGAAATGAACCTCTCGCTCTTCTTCCATCTACGTCGAAGAAATGAACCTCTCTCTCTTTCTCTACGTCGAAGAAATGAACCTCTCTCTCTTCTTCCATCTACGTCGAAGAAATGAACCTCTCTCTCTTCTCCATCTACGTCGAAGAAATGAACCTCTCTCTTCTTCCATCTACGTCGAAGAATTGAACCTCTCTCTCTTCTTCCATCTACGTCGAAGAATTGAACCTCTCTCTCTTCTTCCATCTACGTCGAAGAAATGAACCTCTCTCTCTTCTTCCATCTACGTCGAAGAAATGAACCTCTCGCTCTTCTTCCATCTACGTCGAAGAAATGAACCTCTCTCTCTTCTTCCATCTACGTCGAAGAAATGAACCTCTCTCTCTTCTTCCATCTACGTCGAAGAATGAACTCTCGCTCTTCTTCCATCTACGTCGAAGAATGAACCTCTCTCTCTCTTCCTCTACGTCGAAGAAATGAACCTCTCTCTCTCTTCTTCCATCTACGTCGAAGAAATGAACCTCTCTCTCTTCTTCCATCTACGTCGAAGAAATGAACCTCTCTCTCTCCTTCCATCTACGTCGAAGAAATGAACCTCTCTCTCACGTCGAAGAAATGAACCTCTCGCTCTTCTTCATCTACGTCGAAGAAATGAACCTCTCTCTCTTCTTCCATCTACGTCGAAGAAATGAACCTCTCTCTCTTCTTCCATCTACGTCGAAGAAATGAACCTCTCGCTCTTCTTCCATCTACGTCGAAGAAATCTCGCTCTTCTTCCATCTTCCCATCTACGTCGAAGAAAAACCTCTCTCTCTCTTCCATCTACGTCGAAGAAATGAACCTCTCTCTCCTTCC